AAGTACTCTAAACTGTATAAATAATGTAAAATTAAATTGAATTTATTAGCCAATCAGACAAACTTCTGCCTATGACCTCTGCGCTGGCTGCGCAGTGGCCCACCGGATATATTGCAATCTAATCTCCTAGGATACCCCTAAAAAATGTTATGAAACTGGGTTAAATTTCTCCGAACGTAAGTTCCATTATTGAAATTACAAGAATTATTCCTATAATGCGTTATTGAGTAGTAGAAAAATTATGACAAAAATTTATATATACTTCAATTTGAATGTAAAATCTGAATAATGTTGATTAAATATTCATATTAATCCTTTCGTTACAATGAATTTTGCAAAATAAATCTATGCATTTTAATGATTGTACAGTATTAGCTATGCTAACAAACTGTTTGTATAAATACAATTTCTACATTATTTGTAATGTAAAAAAAAAACAATAAGATTTATTTCCAATAAAATATATTTTTATTTCTTCCAATCCAAGTTTTTTTTAATTTTTTTGCATTTTCAAACCTTTTTAGGTCATTATCAATTTGTTCAATTAGTTATAAATTTGATTTGATGTTTTTTAACTACTTTTTTTGCTTAAAAAGTTCAAATGACTTAAAAATAAAATATCCACCAATATAAAATTATTATAACATAAATAAATATAAGTATACTTGATTTAATATTTTGACAACAGTTAACAACTTTAACTGCATTTTTATTATTACTGAATTTGAAATGTTTTTTTCTTTTAAGCAGTCATAATAGTACTTTATTAAATTATTTGTATAATAGTTATTTATACAATTACAGATATTATTTAATATATAAGTTTATGATTATCTAATTATTCTAATAATACTTAAATGTAATCTGTCATATTAATCAAATAAGAATTAGAATTGTGATTTATTTAATCTTATTTTATAATAAAACATTACCAATTTGAAAACATCTCATAAAAAAAAAAAATTTAAAATTGAATATAGAAAAAAGTAAAATCAAACTAACAAAATAAAAATAAAACTAGAAATTAAAAAACAAAAAGTTTATTTGGAAAAATCTAAATAGAAAGATAGCATAGATCTTTAATAATACTACTATAAAAACTAGATTTATGAAACAGATATTAATATAAAAAAGTTGAACAATAAGAATTTTAGATAAGGAGTAAACTAACCAAATTGTCAGAATTAAATTAAAAAAAAGAATATTAGGCTAACCTGATATACTAATGAACTGATTATAGTTCTATTATATTATTTAAATTAGGAGTTTAGAGACAAAGCAAGTATATACTAAAGTTTATAAAGTAAAATTACAGTTCAAATGAACTTTATAAAAACATAGTATTTTAATAACTAACCTTAATAGTAAGTATTAGTTTTATTATAATAATACTGAATTAGTATAAAAATAAATACAAAGTTTTTAAAAGATTTATCTTAAAAATAAAATAATTTTAAAATTAAAACAATGATCTGAATATAATTTAATAAAATTAACATAGGTTATAGGTTCGAAGTATTAAAAATAAAACATTCAAACAAGATTGTTAGTATAGCAATTGATAAAGAACTTTTAGATAAATTTCTTAAATAAGTAATACAAAAAAATTGCATATATAGTTAATTTTATACTCATTTTGTAGTAGTTCTTTATAGAATCATATTACTAAAAACATTAATAAAAATTAAAAAACCAAAAAGATCATCTTAAAATTAAAAAAATTAGATATTTTGAGTTAACTGTTTTTTTAATTTATAAATAATTAAAATGTTATATTAAAAAATAAATACTATATTAAATAATTCAACTTTTTATAAATCTTAAAAAAATTATATATTAAATTTAAAATAAAATAAATGTTTTATAACAATATATTAAATTTAACAATTTTAGATTAGTCAATAGTAGTTAATGTTAAAGTTTAAATTATATGTAGTTTTAATTATTTTTATTAATTATACTAATTAAATTATTACAAATAAGCATTTAACAGATTTTTACAATTGGTTTCATTCTTTAAAATATATATATATGTTGTATTCCGGATGAGAATCTGCCTGATTCAGAATTCAGCTAATCCAATTCAGAATCAGGGCAGCCAGATTTAGAATTCCTATACGGAGTACCTGGCTAGATATTTATATGTTGTCACAGGGTAACAGAGTGGATTCAAGGATAGAGCAAATGCGATGAATTGTCACTTCAAAATTATCAACATTGTGTAATGTTACCTGAAAGCAAGATGAGGCAGATACGATTTGGCAATGGCTAAGGCAGTTTTTGAGCAAGTTACCAGTAAGTATAGGGACTTTTCTAAAAAACATTTGTGTCTCTTGACACTTTATATAATTTATAAACTGTTTTATTGTTTCATTAATTTCTTTTAATTACAGGAGTGGGGGGAGGTCAGGGAATTATGAGGTCCCCTCCTACTTAATGTCAAAACAGAGGACTATTTATAATGAATTGTCAAGAGAGTATCTTGGGAGCATTCTCTCTTTTTCTATCTTAGTGTTTTCTTTTTCTGTTAATTGTACCAGTTCACTCTTTGACTCATGCTTTTGTCTTTTCATTAACTACTCTATTTTGTAGGTTCTGCCGATAGTTACAGCCGCATAACCTAAAACATCTTCATGGCACCAAGGCTCAGTTGTGAACCCATAAAGATAAGTTATCTTTACCTTTTTCCTGATTGCACAACGTGATGATTCTACTAAGTCTTTCTTACTTTTTAGGTTAGCTATAATTGTCACATGTGGGGTCCAGGCTTACACTCATGGCACTTCTAGTCATGTTTTCAATGATCATTGCACAACAGCTTTACTGGATTTCCCCCTAACAATGTATAAAAAAGAAATTAAAATAAAACATTTGTTTGTTAATTGCAATATTTAATCTCGGATATATAACATGATGTAATCGATTTAAAAGTATAAAAAAAAAGTATGCTTAGTAATAAAAAAAACAAAGATGAAAAAAAAATTTTTCCCAATAACATGATCAATACTTGTATTGCTTTTATCATTTAATCCCTCAACTAAAAAAATAAAAAAAAAATAAAAATAAAAAATAAAAAACACCAATAAACCCAATACGTCTAGCTTTATGGACACTGATAGAAAGTTTCTCTTTCTTTCATGTGTTGCTTTTAATCAACTTGTGTCTGAATTCTTATTAAGTTGCTCCCTTAATTAACAAAGAAAAGCAATTATTACTCAAGAAGATTATGACTTAATTATCAGCATTTTAAGAAGTCCCTAAGACACATCTATTGGAACTGCAAAAAGATAGGTTTTAGGTAAAAAAAAAGTTTTTATATATGCAATCTTGGAATATCCCAAAACCCTATTATTCAGCTTATAGAAGTCAAAAATTCAAATAAAAAATCGGATCGTGTTATTTGTCTATTCCAAAACCTTTATGATGTTCTTGGAAAGATACACAGCAACACATAGCAACATTCTGGATCAAAGAAGACATAGAGGCAATTAGTAACCAGTATGCTTATGTTCCTAGATTATTTGTGGAACTATATGTCTCTCATTGTACACAATGTTGTATGAGAAGAAGTTTTCTGGCACCTATAATTGAAAAAACCATTGTTTCAAAAAAGTTGTTACAACATGTACAGGTCAATTTAGTTTCATTTGAAAAATATCCATATATTGAGTATAAATATATTGCACATCTTTGTGATCACTTCACATAGTTTTCATAGGCATGTTCATTATGCACCAAGGAGGCATCAGAAGTTGCTGCATTTTTATTTTCAGTCTTTACTGTTTTTGGCCCTCCTTATATTTTACAAAGTGATAATAGTTGGGAGTTCACCACACAAATCATTCATGAACTTATTTGTTTATAGAAAGAAATTCACATTATTAATGGGTGTCCTCACTATCCAGAATCTCAAGGTTCAGTTGAAAGTTCAAACAAGACTTTAAAAAATGCTTTTTCAACATAGATGGAAGATAACAATAGAAGAAATTGGAGCATTGGCCTTCCCATAGTCATATATGCTATGAATATTCATTGCTCTAGACCTACTCATCATACACCATATGAGTTAGTTTTTGGACAACACCCATTACGCTACTTTAACATGATTGAGGAATGGAAGCAACATAATGTTAATATGGAAGAAGACTTATCAGAAGGTATCATTGAAAATGAGGAAAAATTTGAGGGCACTGATAATAATGATATAGATGATGAAGATGACCAAAGTATAACACTTCAACAACATAGTAATGGCATTGCACATATAAAAATTAATAATTATATCTATGAAGGTAAAGAAAGTATAATGTGAATATGAAAAATTGTTGCAATTTAATTTTTTATGAATTTATTTCTTATCAATTTATAAATAATTTAATTAGAAAATAGGGTTTCTGATCCTGAGGATGAAGAATATAATGTTTCACTAGACCATAGATCTTCAATGACAACTTCATCAAGTTCTTTTCAATCTTCAGAAGACAATCACTCAATGCTATGATAAACAATTTTTGATAACCAGCAAGCATAGCAATTTACTAGAGATGACAGTAATAGGGAACAAATAATGATAAGAATACTGAAATGTTTAGTGAACCAATTTCTCAGCAAGACATTCAAGAAGTTCAGGAACAGGTAATAGGAACCAAGTAATAATGTTATATGATTTCTTTATTATAAATCAATTAATTTTAAAATTATTAATTATACATGTAATTTAATTTATATATTTATATATAAATAGGAAACAAATAAATTAAATAATTCATATAACTTTATTTCTAATAAAAAATGTCATTATCAGGCACTTCAAGACATATCGAATAATCCAAAGTATCAACATAATATTTATCGCCAAATAGCGAATAAAAATCTTGTGAACTATCATTCAAAAATGAAAAACCAGATGCACACAAAATATAATATTTATGAACATATCTATAAAGTTAGTGATTTGGTAAAATTCAAATCGCTATGATTGATTATAGACCTGGTGATCACTGTGCACTTCTATGCAAAGTATTTTCAGTACTTCCTAATAACATATATAATCTCATCTGTCGATTTGGCATTCTAAAGAATGCATTTCTGGCTGGTGAAGTTTTGCCACTTGGACTGAAAGAATTTCCTGAATTAGATAATCTATCAACTGATACAACTATCAGGATTATTGAAGCTGCAAGACTTCAATCCATTTCTCTTGCAAGTAACAAGGGATGCAATTGTAGAGGTGATTGTCTTACAGCGAGATGTTTGTGTAGGAAAGTAAATACTTTATGTGGGAGTAGATGTCATCCAAAAAATTCTAAGTGCAAACATAAGGCTTAAGATTGTGTATAATGAATGGAATTGTAGAAGAAAAGGGCATGCTTAATCTATATAACAATTTGTATATATTAATATATTGTTGATACATATAGTGCAGAAAAAAATATATTTTTTTTCATCATGCATGAATTTCTTTTTTGAGTATAAAATGATTCTGAATTAAAAAAAAAAAAATCGTGGGCAACCAGTTGTTAAAAGAAGATAGTAATGATTTAATTCTCTTTATTAAATTTAAATTTTATTTTCTAACTTCTAACTTTAAATATTAACTTAAATTTTCAAAATCATAATTGTTTTTAGGTATCTCAATTTTTGGCTAGCAATTGAAATCATTCAACCAATGACTAGTTAATCTGAGATGGTAAATAGAAAATATAATCTAGTTCGCCAAGTTTAAATTCAATAGTGTATAAAATCTGTTCAGCTCTTATTATTATTATTATTTTGCCTCTATTTTTGGACAATGCCTGGCCTTATAATAATACTCGATATGAAAGTATAAATACATACAATATGTATGTAGTAAGAACAGTTAAATATAACTTATATGGTTAATAAACAATAATAATCTAAATGCAAACAATATACTGTAATTCAGGATTTGGTGATTTGGTTTCTACTCTAATCCAACTCTCATGTAAGCTATGGCAGCTAAGTCGAAATAGGCATGTTAGATTTGGCTGAGTAGTTTATCAGTAGATAAGTACTATTCTTCTCTTCTAAGTCCTTCCTTTAACCTATCCTTCTATTAACCCTTGCCTTCTCTTCTCTTCCTTCTACTTCCTTAATTTGGGGTTACAATTGTTGAATCAGGTTGAGTTCTTCTCTTCATTTAACGACTTTGTCACGTGACTTATGGTAAATGAACAAAATGCAGTTCAAATGTATTACAAAGGGGCAAGTGATAGTTGATGACAATGGGTTTAACAATAGTTTTCAGTTTGTGTTGGGTTATAGTTCTACTTTTAATATGGACTCGATACTTAAATTTATTATGCGCAAATGTATTTACTTGGGAATATTACCCATACTTGTTCTTTTTCCTCTAGGCAGAAGGCCCTTTATTTATAATAAGACTTTTATTTACACTCGAGGATTATTTCCTCTACATTATCTATTTACAATATTTCATTCCTAAAACCTCTTTCCCTACTATAATATCTAAAAACCGAATGCTTCTTATACCATCATTCTATCTGAAGTAATAAATATAATAAATGTAACGAAAGTAATAAAAGTAAGAAAAGTAAGATAAATCTTACTTTTCATGTGACCAATTACTCAGGTAGGTGATTGGTCCTACATGCGATAATCAATCACAGGTAATCATGATAACGGTAAGACAAATTTCAGGGTTCACAATACATATATCAATATAGAATTTAAGTAATTTTCTATCTGGGTACCCTGTATAGGAATTCTAAATCTGGCTGCCCTGATTCTGAATCGGGATAGCCAAATTCTGAATCAGGCAGATTCTCATCTGGGGTACAACATATATCTTAACAAATTTTAAATTTTTTAGTTTAAATTTTTTTTAGTTTATATTATATAATTAGTTAATTTATATTTTGCTATGTTTCTTATTTGTTATATCTAATCAAAGATGTAATTACAAAAAAAAATAATATATAATATTGATTTTATAATAAAAATAAGTTAAATAAAGTAATATTAATAGAAATGAAACAAATCTATTTAATAAATTTAGCTCATTCTATTATTTTTTTTTTAGTATTAAGATGAGGTTTGTTTATATTTTAATTAGTAATTTTAGTTGTATATATTAATATACTATATATTAAAGATATACTAAAATTATAAAATACAAAATAAAAAC